ATATATATATATATATATATATATATATATATATATATATATAAAGGCATTTTAAACCCTTCCCACACTCTTGCAATATTCTAAATAATGTTTCTAAACTCTAAACACGCTAAAAGAGCACAGAATTTCATGATTTCCCTCTCTGTGCCTCCGGCTGCACCCAGAGATCAGCTGATCAGCTGATCAGCTGCAGGAGGAAGCTTCTCCCACAGCTGTGGGCTGTAAAAATGTGCTAAATAATTTTAAATTATTTATTTTAAATTAAAAAAATCCATGACGATCATGCGGCTCATCCATCAATCAGCCAATTGTGTGTCATGTCCAATCTTACTTTGAAAAACTGCGAAAGAGCAAGTCTGCAAAAAGCGAACCACAAAGTCACAAGGGACTACTGTAATTGGTTAAATCATCCATTCAAATAGCCTGGTCCAAACCACAGCAACCACTTTAAAAAGTTCAACCAGAGCAAACTGGTACTGGTGCAGAGTCACCCACCGGCTGCAGGTCCGATCTGGAGGCCCGAGATATCCGGCTTTCATCGCTCAGTCTGGAGCTCTGAGAGGCAACAAGAGAGGAGGTGTCAAACATCACCAACCCAAGACTCAACCTCTGAAAGCTGGTTCAGGGTTTTAACAAGAACTGGACTCTGAGGCTACAGAGAAAGGAACAAACCAAGACCTGAATCTATCTGACCCTCGGACCCTTTGTTTACCACCAGAACAAGGGTGTTAATGGATCAATCACAAGAACCTGCTTCATTAAACCAGAAAATGGATCTGACTCCACCTGATTGACGAGGCTGAGCTCAAACAGACCTTCGCTGCATCAGGTAGTGACAACACAAACTCCATTAGACTGAAGGCAGGTGGGATATCACTGCTGCTTTTAGTCCATAAAGGTCTACCAATGATTAATAATTTAAGATACCTGTTTTATTATATGTCTTAGTACACCATGAACAGGTACACCTGCTGCTCACCTGGTCCTACAGTCAAAAAATAATAATTTATGGCATTAGGGCTGCAAAGCAGCGGGAAATTTCCAGAATCTTTCCACAGGAAGTTGAGCTCCAGAGTTTTGGAAATATTCTAAATTGTTAACCAGCAACCCACGAGATTGATCCAAAACACTCCAACAAGGTCTCTGGTCTGGACGCCTCCTGGATGCCTCCCTGTTGGCACGTTTTCCTGGGATGTCCCACTTGGAAGAGACCCCGGGGCAGAACCAGAACTCTCTGGAGGAATTATAGATCCTTTCTGGTCTGGGAAAGTCTTGGGATCCCTGGGGAGAGGTAGGTCTGTTTTTTACTTGGACCTGTTGCCTCCATGACCCAACGGCAAAGGAGATGATCACAAATGTTGAGGTATGATAAAAGAAATGTGTGTCTGCCATCTAGCAGTGACTAGTACGAACAACCACAGCCACCTTATCCAGGTCTTCCGGGAGGACTCGAAGGTGTCCCCAGACCAGCTGACAGTTTCTCCAGCATGCCCTGGGTCTACTTCCAGTTGGAGAAACCTCTCTAGGGAAGCATCCAGGGTCCATCCTCACAAGATGTCTGAACTAGGGATGCAGGTATTTGGATTTTTGGCCGATACCAATACCGATATTTTTTCCCCTAGATCTACTGACAGAGACTACACAGCTTTCTCTGCTGTGGAATTAAAATACTACATTTTTCTGCATGGTCTTTGTCAATATGGTCAGCTACCAAATGCAGATGCCAAAACGGGGCTGAAAATGATACAACACTTCAACTTGTATTATGTTTAATGTCAAATTTATTCATGACATTTACTCTCGAACACAAAAACACTCGAACAGTGCAAATTTGTAAATTTTCACAAATCTAAACTCAACGGCGCACATGATGTCAGTGTTGTGCTGGCACTACAGGCATCCCTCTCACTGGGTTGTCATAAAACATAGCACCTTTATATATATATATATATATATATATATATATATATATATATATATATACACACACATATATAACAGCACCTTTTATATTGGAGATTTATTTTGATGGAATGGGCGATGTCCTATATTTAATTTTATCGCTAATATCGGCCGATACCGATACCATGCAGATAATATCGTGCATCCCTAGTCTGAACCAACTCAACGGTCTCCTCTGGATGTGGAGGAGCAGCGGTTCTACTCCGAGTCTCTTGATAACTGAACTTCTCAACCGATCTCTAAGAGAGAGTCCAGCTACCCTGCAGAGAAAATGTATTTAGACTGCCTGGATCCAGGATCTGGTTCTTTCAGAACCTAGAGTTCCTGACCAAAGATGAGGGTAGGAACGTAGACCGGCCGGTAAACAGAGCTTCCCCTTTCACCACAACAGACCGGCACAGAGTCCACAATACGGCTGAAGCTGCAGTCTTTCGAGCTTATGCTCCATAAACAAAACCCTGAGATACTTGGCCCGGGGGCATGGCCTCAGTACCCCCCACATAAAGCAGTGTTTGAAGGCTAGCATTAGTGTATGTTCATAGAATCTGTCTGTTTTAGTCTAAATTCTTCTAAAACCTCAACTGTATTTAAAATTTGCATTAAGGGTCAACCATCGACAGTTAAATTCCCATAGAAAGTTTCAATTTTTGAAAATTCCCAGAATTCTCCAGCCTTAGTGAAAATATACCATGTACAGGCCTCAGAGTCAGAGGTTAAAGGTCACACAGCTCCTGGCTGAGACTTCCTGTAAAGATGGATTTGACGTTTCACTCCGTTTCTGCGTTTTAGTTTTCGTTAAATCAAACGGTGAGACGTGACCCGTGTTCTTCTGAAGTTAGTTTGACGTTTCCACGGTTAGTTGAGCATGCACCTACTGACCCTGCTGGACAGGACACTGTAATCATCATCGATGCTGTTTCTCTGTGAAAAAACAACAAACGACCTCAATCTTTTCCCATTCGGGAGATCTGGATAGGTTCTGTTCTACAGTCAGACCCGTTTACGTACATCTCTGTCTTTGTGCTTGTGTTTCTTCTTTTTCTTTGACTTCTTGTGCAACGAGGAGCCCTTAGAGGAAAGGATGACGAGCAGGGATGAAGAACATCAAAGCTGATCAAGCAGAGTCATGCAGGCAAAACGGACCGAACACACGGGCCAGGCAGCAGAAAAACATGCTAGACCGGGACGAACATCCATGTTATCATTCAGCCTGAAACACTTGATTATATGAAGAATCATTCCACAATTACAAATCAACACGTTGACGCTGAGAGACACTCAAAGACCTGAACCGAGTTCAGCTTGGACAACGACAGAACAATTCAACCGGACTGATCCGGTCCGACAGAAGTTAGAACACATGTTAGCATCATTTCCTGAACCTTCAACACGTTCATGTTCAGGAGAGGCCTCAGTTCACTCAAAACATACAAAGTCCAACATGTGAACCAGGACTGAGTTACAGGAAACAAGCAGTACGCTCATGTCCCCCGCCGCTGAGGGATTTGAACAGTGAATGTTTGTAGTTTTGGTGATGAGTGTTTTTCTGGACTGCAATTGAACAGAGAATGAAGTAAGCCCTAATGTTTTGGTGAAGATTTTCAAGTGGGCAGGAGTTACACTGTGGAGAAGAACAGAGGGAGGTTTTTATTTTTATTCACCACCAGGTGCAATGGTGGAGCCAGGGGATGGCTAATGGTGGCCTTGGCCCCCAAAGATTAATCTTCAGCCAACCCAAGAGTCACTCCAATGATTTGAGGAAACTATACGTCAATTTATAATTCATTTTAAAATACTGCTGTATGTTTTGAAATCTCTGAACAGTTCTACCCCCCACTGATCTGCTGCAGCCATATGTACAACAGCGCTCTCTGAGGTCAGCAGACCAGACGCTTTAACTGGTTCCAGGCACTCGTTTTAAGCTCAGAGGTGACGGGAGGCAGGCTCCCTCTCTCACTGTGTTTAAGTCTCATTTAAAAACTCACTTTTATTCCCAGGCTTTTGACACTGTGTGAGTTGATTTGAACTTGTCTGTATTTTATAATGTTAGTCATTCAGTTCTCATCTTTACCTCTGTGGATCTATGTATGCCGTGTTCTTTGCTTGTTTGTTTTTGCTGTACAGCACTTTGGTTGGCCTTGTTGCTGTTTTTAAGTGTTTTATAAATAAAATGTTATGTATGGTATAGTATGGTATGGTATACGTAATAGTTTTATGTTTAATATAAAAACCAGAAAGCATTGTTTCCTTGAAATGACTGGGGTGGTCAGTTTACGTATAAATGGCATGGTCCATCTTGGATTCTGACTTGGCAACCCAATTTTATACAGTGATCTTTAGCTCCAGATATATATCTGACGTTAGCTCCAGAGCTAATTAATTAATCACAAGATGATCACATTTGATTGTTTCAACTCATACAATGTGCATAAGGATTAATACAAAATATAACTTTGTCACGTTATAACTTTTTAAAAGTTTAGTCTCCACTACAACCGGTGAACTTCAATGGCCCAGAATGTAGTGCGCCAAAAAAGTAACGGCGACGTCCTTAGGTAAGAAATGGAATAAACGTATATAATTTCATATATAAACAACTTTTAGTTGAAGAGAAACATAAAAACGTGTCAAGGCCAATATATGCAAGTGATGGGATACTGGATCCATGAGAACGAGACAGAACATTTCAACTCTCCAAAACTTCACCAGACAAAATCCCAACAAGGTTTTTATTTTATTTTTTTCTCCACGAGACAAATTTCCACTTGATGTTTTAGTTTTAGATCTCGTCCCCAGAGATATCCACACTAGTGACAGTTTTATCTTATTTCTATTGTGCAGCTTTGATTTATCGTGATAAATGAAAAAACATACACTCATCAGTTATTGATAAAATTGGAAGCAAAATCCCTCCGTCTCACACAAACTCCACGAGTTAATCAGTTTGTGCCAGAAACATGCTTTGTTAGTCACAAAAGACCATTTGGACACTTTGGACCCTTACCCCTCCACCATAAGCCCCCCCAGAGTCGAGATCCGACTGCTCAAGATAAAAACACCATCATCGTGAATTAAAGGAAGACAGCGTTGATCAGAAGCGGCTCCGAGTGTCGGATACTCACCCTGACGCTGCCGCGGCTTCCCACCGACATCCGCTCATCTTCGTCCGACAGCTGCGCGGAGAGAGACGGAGACTTAGGATTAGAGGAACGGACGCCATGACGGAGGCGCCGCGAGTTAAGAAATCACACCCGAGTTTTCTTCTGTGGTTTGGAAACGATGTACAAACGCAAAGAAAACCTGATTTTTGTTGTTGTTGTTTTTTCAGTGCATTGTTTCAAACTAATTTAACCAACAGTTTAGAGAGAGGAAGAGTGAGATGGAAACAGAGTGAAGATACCAACCGTTTGGATCCGTGAAGGCCGTGAGTACTTCTCACTGTCTTCCTGGGGGAGGAAGAGGAGGAGGAAAGATGGAGAAAAGGAGGGATAAAGAAGGAGGAGAGATGCCACAGATCAATGAGAATAAACAAAGAAGAAAATGTAGCTTTGGGTTCAAAGTTAGTCCTGAAGTTAGTGAGATGTTGTGGCCTTCAGTGAAGGAAAGGCTCGGTTCTTGTTGAGTTTCAGGCCTTGGTTCAGGTTCAGGTGAGGGTTAGTGACTGAAACTGAACCGGTGAATGTATCTGCATCCAAAAACGGACTAATTAAAGTCCATCAGGATGAAGATTGATCAGATATCAAGAAGATCAAATATCCAGAACAGAGGAAACCTTGTGTGTCTAGTGTCCACAAGAGTACCACAAGGGTCTATTTTAGGGCCCTTGCTCTTTTTACTCTATATTAATCAAATCTGTGATCAGCTTAAATTCTTGTATCTCTCATATGAGAGAGCTCTCGTAAAAGAGATTAATAATCTCAGTGGATTTCTTTCCTGGTAAAATAAAGGTTTCAATAGAACTAAAGAGAAGTGCTGCCACTGGGTCTTACCGACACATCGTCTATCTGGACCCAGACCTGGACCCTCTGCTTTGGTTAGATTAGAACAAATTTAATTTGATTTTCATATAAAATGGCACAGATGCAGAGATGCACGCCTTTAAAACCACAACAAATGAAATCTCAACCCCGTGCTGAACACACATGCTGGTCAAACTGTTTAACTCCTGTGTAGACAATATTACAATCTTTTACAACTTTCAATGACCGTTTTGACAATTTCAACATTTAACATCTATTTAGCTAATTTAGCTATGATTTAGCTAATGTTAAAACCCATTTTGCTACTTTTGGCTACACATTTTCCAATTGTATTCTCTATTTAGTTACTTAAAATTCCTATTCAGCTAATTTTGCCTATCTCAACATAATTTAGTTACATTTCTGCTTACCTGAGCATCTATTTAGCCAATTTCAGCAACAATTTTAGTGATTTTAACATCTTAAACATTTGAAATTTAACATTTAAACCACAATTTTGCCAATTTAAGCATCCGTCTAGCCTGAAGAAGCCAACAGAAACACATCATCTGCATAAAGCAGAGACGAGACCCTGGGCTGACTCCCTCCACAACCAAAACAGGAGCTGGGCCTGAATGTGGACTCAGTTCCTGTTCTGGTTAAATTTAACAAATTTTATTACAATCTCATGTAACAGTCACTCGTTTCTTAATGAAATCTCAACTGCTGCACACACATGCTGATCAGTGCTGAAACTCTGTTAGAAACTAGTTCATGCAGTCACAACAAGCCGAACAGACACCGTGCTCCTTAACAGTCGAGCTCTGATTCACAATAATCCACCTAACGAGGGGTTAAAATGCAAACACGGCACGCTGTACACCTGTCCAACACACAACGAGCCGTTAAAGAACCACAATCTCATCGGTACCATCCACTGCTCAATATCTCCCCATTTGCCGTCAGATCGTTCGTCTAACTTGGTGTTCAGGCCGTAATATTTCTGTGGAGAAACAGGAAACCGGAGAAAAAGAGTCCAGGTGACAGGTTCTGTTCTTCTGTGATGTCCAGAAGGTTCAGAAGAGGGTCAGATGAATTTATGAAAGGAAAGAGGAAGAGCTTGCCTACCTTCTGCACCTGAAAGATCTACAACAGAAAAAACAAAAACAAAAAAACAAGAATGAGCAGAGAACGGCAAGGAGACAGAACCAACGACTGAGCCAGCAAGAACTGAGCCAACAAGAACTGAGTCAATATGAACCGAGCTAACAAGAACTAAACCCACAAGAACTGAGCCAACAAGAACCGAGCCAACATGAACTGAACCAAC